TTTGCAGCAATGAATCACTCCAGCCAGGATGAGATTATCAATGGGAATTCCAGGATCCTAAAATGGAGGTACTGTACCATATAAGGCCATATTTTGTGGGGATATTCCCTTACATAGGCCTTACATAGGCCTTATATATGGTAGGTACCTCCATTTTAGGATCCTGAAATTCCCATTGAGATTATTCAAACATAAACAATCTACCAACTAGCTAAGCCTGCCAAAAAGCCTGCTATAGATGAACTTGATCTTGATTTTTTCGACTTAAGGGATCATAGAAGTGAAACGAATCATGGCCGACCAACATCCCGATGCCAAGGATCGATGACTGTCTTTTCGATCGTTTTAAGGGCCATTTGGGCCGTTTGTCAAAGTCAAAAATTGGATTCAAAAAGAACCAGTCTTGACAAGAATGCCTATGGCTATACCCTCCAAATGATTATGAATTATCATTTATCATAGTTAACAATTGAGTATGAGTAATTAGCTGATATTAGTAATTAGCAATCAAGTATCATATTAATCAACTATCATAGTTAACAATTATCATATTGATTATAATTGATATTATGGATTAACACTTATCATATCAATCAATGATTATGGATTATCATAGTTAACAATTGTAATCCATAGTCATAATGTAACAACAATTAACAATTATCATAATCAAAAATTGGATTTATAGAACCAGACTTTATGGATTATCATAGTTTACTATTGATAATGGCTTTGCCCTCCAATGTAACACCGAAGAGCTGAGGAACCGCACCACCAAATGGACCGGATTCTCATCCTGGGCCCCCCGGGGTCATGACGGAGGAGACGGAGGACCTATTGACAGCCTACGCTTCTCCCGGATATTTATAGTAGAACAGCCCCAAACCAGGGATCTATCACGAATATATCCCATTATTGTAGATATTTATTTATAACATATAGTAATATATATAGTAGAACAGCCCAAAAGATAGAGTAATATATGGGTAATCTACGAGTTTAGCAGGATGCCACTTGTCAATTTCTTTTTGGGTGGTGATTATATACCGGTCTATACCCCAAATAGGGGACCATAAGGGACCCCCGATATGGAAAAGATCCAATGCTAAACCAGGATTTCTCCGGTCTTCGTGGCCCCAGCCATCGAAGGTGCGCCAAGTGACTTGAAGCTTCCAAGAATGATGGCCCAAGAAGTTCCGGATATCCTTAGTACAGGGCTGAAGGATGAGCTCGTTGGCTTAAATTATCCAAAAAAGAGCCATACAATCTTCGTCCGAGTTGGAAATTCTCGACTCAACCACCCTGAATGAACTCCACCTGCAGGGGTCTGAAGAGGATTTGCGGCTGGAAATGACCATTTTGGCCCCCCTTTCCAATCGTTGCTTAAGGCATAGTTATAAAGATGGTGACATCTCTACCACCGCCCACGTGCCTCCACCGTCGCCTTGTAAGGCAAGCCCCGAAGCTGGATGGCCAGGTGGCCTTGATTCTCCTGGTGCTGACATTGGGACGTTGGATCAATCCTTTTGGGTACCACATGGTACCATCCAAATTATCCAAGTTCACCTGGGATCTTGTTCTACTTTCCAAAAAAAACTAAAAATAAAAGTTCTTGCGCCTGAGGATTTTGGGAATTTTGGGAATGCCGCTGCCAGTATGAGTGCCGAATACACTCCGTCGTGGTGTGTTGGATAAGGCCTGAGGCCAAAACACTTTGAGGAAGTCGTCAGAAGGAGTGCGGCGAACCCATCAATGTTGCCCAAAAAAAGGGATCGTATGGTACTCATCACTAGATGGTCAAGTGTGATGGATGAACAAATATGAAAAAAATGGGTTTTACATGGTTTTGGATGATTTTACCAAGCTTAATCACATCCTCTATCATCCTCCATATAATTTTCTCTGGTAAACATCACCTAATTTGTTCCGTGAAATCTCCGTGAAAGCCTGGTTTTAACATAAGGATGTTTCTGGTACCATCTGGTTATTTAACAAAACCATGGAAAATCCCCATTTTTAATAGGTAAACCATCTATAAATGGGCCATCTATACCATGGCTATGAGTCATAGCCAGAGGGTAGTTAGAAACCAGAGATTCGTTGCAACGAATCTCTGGATTGGCCATTTAAGGAGGTTGCGACATGTTGCGACTCCTCATCGAAGACCACCGCCTCCTCCCGAGCTGCCTCACGGGTGTGAGAGGAGTACTCCCCAAATAACTATCATGTACTATATATGTAATATGTATAGTGTATATATATATATATATATACAAATATATATATATATATATATATTTATATATATATTTATATATATATATATATTTATGTTGTGATTTGTACATTCCAAGCCCAGGTACATGAGCAGTGCCCAGTTCCATCTTGCGTGAATCACCAGGAGTGTTTGGGCTCAGGCGAGCTAGGTGAGGGTGGGAAGGGTTCCTGCTACTTGAAGCCATTTGGATACTGGTGGCAGGGTCCACTTTTGCAACAGGACCAGGGTGTCCGACTTTCAACTGCCTTTGAGATAGGTGCTGGAACCTTGAACACCTTCAGTGTTCTTAGCTTGGGACTTCGTGCATCCGTGCTGGCATTGAGCAAAACAACAGGAGTGCGTGTTTGTGGAGACTTGCTTTCAGGGTGATTTACAACAGTGGGTACATCCAACTGGTATTCATTCAATTGATTCTTTGTCTTCATCAACCATCACTGAAGTGGCTGCCATTTACATTGGTAGCGGAGCCCCCGAAAGGGGGTATCCGGGAAAGAAATGTCAACAGCTTCTGACTCTGGGAACTCAAGCGTGAGCAACCAATTGTCTTCGCTGGTACCGACTTTTGATCCTGCCACTGATGATCTCTTGATATATCAACAGAAAGTTGAGCTGGTGCTGGCCGCATGGCCTAAAACAAAGCTTCCCGAGCTGATCACCCGCCTCATCCTGGGATGTAAGGGCACGGCATTCCAGAAGTTGCAGATTCACCAGACCGAGCTCCTCAAGGGGGACGAAGAATGTGTGCGGAAACTGGTGGAATATCTGGGTGGTCAATGGGGAAAAATCCCTTTGGAACGACAGTACGAGGATGCAGAGCAGGCCTTGTTCCATACAACGCAGAAACCTGATGAAGCCAATGACTCATACTTGGCCAGGGCCGATGTGATGTGGAGCCGCCTCCTTGCCAGAAAGATGTCATTGTCCGACATCCAGGCCTATGTGGTGTTAAGGGGATCCTTGTTGACAGCTGAGGAAAAGAAAAGAGTGATCATGGACAGTGAGGTGGCCGGTCAACTCACTATGAAAAATGTGCATGAGGCCATTCGGGTCTTGGGTGCCAGTTTCTTCAATGAAATGACAGGTAAAAAGGCCGCCAGAACGAAGATCTATGATGGGACAACTCTCCTGACAGATACTAGCAATGACTATGCAGCAGTTGCCGAGACAGACATGAGTTCAGCAACCATGGATGAGACCACGGAAGCAGATTTCCTGGAAGCCCTTGTCCAGGAAGGGGATCACGATGCCTTGCTCATTGCCGACTTTGAGGCCGCTGCTCAGGAGACAGTTCAGGAAGACAGTGAATTGGCCACTGCATTCTCAGCTTATCAGCAGGCGAGACACCGCCTTGGAGAAAAGTTTCGCAACCGTGGGTTCTTTCCAGCCAAGCCATTTTCTGGAAAGGGCAAGGGATATGGTGGAAAGCCTTCAGGGAAAGGCAAATTCCATGACAATCGCCCCCGGAAGACTCTGCAGGATCGTATCATGTCTTCTACATGCCGCCTCTGTGGCGTCCGAGGACACTGGAAAGCTGAATGTCCACTTAGGAACCAAGGAAGTGCCAACTCAACGGAGGCCCATGCTGCAGCACCGACCTCAACGGTGATTACCACCGACAGTGGTGATAGCCTGCCTCTTGAGTTCCTTGTCCTGCCTGAGACGTCCATAGATGAGCCCAAGCTGAATTTATCCTTGCGTTTTGCATGTGATTCCAGTCATGGCCATGTCAAGTATAGTTATAGGGGACGTATTCTGGGAGAATCACGAAACAACTATGCTGTGAGTTTTGGGTCACGAAGGGTCACAGCCAGGGATCGTTTGCGCAGCCATCTTCTTAGGAGTGAGGGATGCCAGCCGATGCCACACGATGTCCAACTGAGAGATGCCGCATGTACCAGTTCTGTAGATGCCATGCCCGTCAAGCCAGGGATTACCAAGGTCAGTTCATGCACTGTAATTTCAGATGGGGGATCCTCTAAGAAGTTGAACAGTCCTACAGAACCAAACACGATACCAATTAATCCAGTTTGTTTTGCCACTCATGATGCCTGTGGGGTGCTCGACCTTGGAGCGTCCAAGACCGTCATAGGGTCTGAACACGTGAAGTGCCTAATTCAGAGCTTGAGTGAGGAAGTTCGTGCCCGGTTGACACGATGTCCATGTCAAGTGACCTTCAAATTTGGCAACCAAGGTACATTGACCAGCAGTCAAGCCATCGTAGTACCCATAGGCAGTTTAAAACTCAAGATAGCAATCGTCCAAGGGGGAACGCCTTTCCTCATCAGCAACACCTTCATGCGGGCCATTAGGGCCAAAATCGATTGCTCGACTCATCGCCTGACCAGTCCTGTGCTGAGGCATGCAATTCCGTTGGAACTGTCAGAAAGGGGTCTGTTTTTACTCAACCTCAATGACGTTGTTGAAGCAGCCATGACACAGCACGTGCCCGAAGTTTCCGACACGAAGTCTGTCGAAACCACTTTCCTTGCAGCTCGCACTGAGACTTTCCTTCCGGCAGAAACACCTGAAAGCACCGGGCAGAGGGACATAATCATGATGGGTCCAGAGAAAATCAGAACAATTCAAGATTCCAGTCATGAGGCACAGGTTCACAGGTCTTCAGAGTCACCGTTTGCAGCTGATCGAGAAACATCCGTTCAAGCCCAAGAGAATCCGGTTCAAGTGCCCAGCAACGAGACTGATCGACCGACACAGGCTTGCCATGTCTCTCATCAACCGGTTGAAGGCCCTGCAGACCGAAGTGGAGATGCCGCTCCCCGACTTGAGTCATTTGACGTTGACGGAACTGAAGACGGAAGTAGTGTCATTCGGACAGAAACATCAAGGGGACACCTTCGAGAAGGCATGGGAGGACCAGGGTTGGATCAGCTTCATGGTGACCAAGTACGGGAACAGCAAAGTTCTCAGTCACCGCCGCCTGATCCGATTTGTGGAACTGATGGTCGCGAAGCACGAACGCACCAACACACAGGTGCCACTGCTGCCTCCTCCGGATTCCCTCGCCGGGGGATATGCCATGATCGAAGAGATTTCTGGACGCAGATCCACCCGAGCAAAGGCCAAGGCCATGCCGGTTCCATCTGGAGCCACAGCCGCAGAGCCCTTGGACTACGACGAGGACTTGGCCTTCGAGATGTTCAACCAGGGGACTACGGCGACAACGCCCCTTCATCAGGATCCGGAGTTCACTGCCCTCCAGGATCGGATTCTGAACATGGAAAATGCCTTGGGCCGTGTGATCCAACACTTGGAGAACCAGGTGGAGAAGAACATCCCGCAGGATTGAGTGAACCTGAGAGCGAGACCATAGCAGAGTCATGCCTGGCCATGCATCAAGATGTTCAGGATCTGCATCATCTTATTCGTAAGATAACTCAAGAATTCCAAGAAGTCCAGCAAGAGGTCAGACCCATGGGCAAACCCTTCCTGTTAGGTGAGATCTTTTGCAGCAGTGAATCTCCTTTGACACAGCAGATCCAGAACATGGGACAACAGGCATTTCGATTCGGCCTGGCTCAGGGTGATTTATCCACCGTCAATGGTCGCCGGAAACTGTTTCAGTCCATTGCCTGCCACCGACCAATCCATTTGTGGTACAGCCCAGTCTGCGGACCATGGTCCTCTTGGTCAGCGTTGAACGCAAGTAGATCAGCTGAAACCCAATGGGAATACCAACAGAAACGAAGTGAGTTGCGATATCAAATTGCCTTAGGAATTGTTCTCTACCGATATCAGGTGTCCAGGGGACTTCATTTCAGTTGGGAACAGCCTCAAAAATCATGGATGTTGCTCCACCAGGGAATCAATGAAATCCACCAACATACCCAAGTTAGCCAATTCGATATGTGCGAAGCTGGAGACTTAAGGGATCCCATGAGCAAACTTCACATGAAGAAGGGAATGCAGGTTGTCACAACACATGAACCAATATACCGTGCACTTCATGGGTTGACTTGTCGTAAAAATCATCCCCACCAACAGCTTGAGGGTTCCACGCATGTCCATGGCCATTCCATCCTCAGGACGAAATTTTCAGAGATATATCCCCGAAAGTTTGTCAGGTTGGTAGCCAAGACCATGTGCAATAATACACATCGATGGCCTTTCAACTGGAAGGTGGGATGTGGACTGAACCGACAGGATCACAGTGACGGGACACCTGTCCTTGCAGCCGGACATCGCCGAACGGTCCTGAAGCCCCAGAAGTCTCAAGGCCGGAACAACTTTGCTCGTTCCCAGCTGTCAGCACCGGAAGAGACAGATGAGACAGGAGTCAAACGCCGTAGACTAGATGGTAAACAGGGTCCAGTGCCAAACATGAAGGAATGCCAAGCAATGTTTCAAGATATCCAGAAGATACTCCCCAGGGTTGGTAAGCTTGAGATCCAAAGTACCCCCATCATTCAACAACTCCAATCAATCTTTCCTGACCGTCAAGTGATTACTGCAGTAGCTTGCCGAGGGACTGACCGAACATTACCACCTCCAGAGAACCTTCATCATACCATGGCCCCCTATCGTAAAACTATCATGATACTCCGACCCTCTGGAGATATCAGGTATGAAAGAGAATGGGAAAAGTGGGCTGATCTTTCCAACCGACAACTGATCAGACCAGCACATCCATGCCGCATAAACATAACTGTGTTTGCCAAAGAGTTTGAAGCCACCGTGACTCCAAGTCAATCCAGCCTGTCTCCAATGCCGACCGCCGACACTAGAACTGAAAACCCTGAAGTTTTGATGCCAGAGAATCCTCCGTACGAACCAATGAGCATGCAGCCGACACCTCCAATGCCAGCGGAGGGCGAAGACCTTCCATCGCAGGACACCACGAGTCCGGTCTCTGAAAAGAAGATCCATGCACATCAAAGTGAGATTTGCAGAAATGAACAGAGTAGCTATTTCCAAGCACTCCCACGATGGGAACAAAATCAGCTGTTGACCATCCATAAGAATCTCGGCCACCCATCGAATGAGCGATTGGCCCGTGCTTTGCAAGCCAATGGTCAGAGACCGGAAATGGTGAAGGCCGCTTTTGAGCTCAAGTGTTCAATATGTGCCGCTAGCTCTGCACCCAAGCATCCGAGACCTGGTCGTTTGAAACCCCTTCTTGATTTCAACCACCGAATATATCTTGATGGGATCAAATGGACAAACAAACAGGGTCAGAGTTTTCATGCATACCATGTGGTTGATGCGGGAACACATTTCCATGTCGCTTTTGCTGCACCATCACACACGACCAAGGATGTAATCGCTTTGTTGAATCAACACTGGCTGAACTGGGCCGGCGCTCCACAGGAGATGAAAGTAGATTCAGGGAGTGAACTTAACAGTGAAGAATTCCAACAATTCCTTCAGCGATTCTCCATAAGATGCACCACCATAGCACCCGAAGCACATTGGCAAAATGGAACCATCGAACGTCATGGCAGCTTCCTACAACATATGATGACCAAAGTAGATATGGAGGTCCCCATCAATAACTACCAACAACTCCAAATGATGTTGAATCAATGCTGTCAAGCCAAAAATAGTATGATGATCCGACATGGGTACAGTCCAGAAGTGATGGTTTTCGGTAAACAAAGCAGACTTCCAGGTTCGGTGCTCAGTGATGAATCACTACCAGCCCACACTGTCGCGACTCAAGAAAATCAAGAGTGGACAGCCGAAGAGTTCAGAAACCAGCTGAAAGCCCGTGAAGTAGCCCGTCGGTCATTCCATACTGCTGACAACAGTGATTCCTTGCGAAGGGCAATGCTGCGAAGGTCCTGTCCATCAAGGGGTCAATATCAAAAGGGACAATGGGTAATGATATGGAGAACAACTGGTCCCCAAAAGCAAAGTTGGATTGGTCCCCATAGAGTTATCATACAGGATGAGACCCATACGATATGGACAACACAAGCAGGAAAGCTCTACCGCAGTGCTCCAGAGAATGTGCGCCTATCCCTTCCGGAAGAAGGTGAACCAGGCGGCCCTGATTTGCCGGAAGATCTAACTCAGATCCAGCAACAACTCAACAGAATTTACCAACACCCTGATGCCATGCAGTCAATTCCAGAACATGATACACTAGAACCCGTGAACCCCAATCAACCACTTCCATTATCACCAGAAATCAGACCAACGGAAGTACCAGAGCATGACAGACGAGATAGCAGTGCCAGTGAATCCATTCCTCAACCTGATCAAGAACCTGACACTCAGAGCCGACAGGAAACCCAAAGTCCAGATGCAGCCTCCATAGATATTCCGACAGATCAAGCCGAGGGGTTCATCACATGTGCTGATGAAGAATGCGCCTTAGTCAGCACGACAGTGGATCATCTTGCCTGGCGATGTGAGTTCGAATTGACAGTCCCTGAAGATGTCATAAACCAACCACCATCCCCTGAAGAGACATGGATACTACTAGCGACCAGTGCGAAGAAACAAAGGACAGAAGTCCGTCTGTCCGAGCTCACAACCAGCGAGCGAGAGGAATTCGCAGCAGCCAAACAGGCAGAGGTAAACAACTGGATCAAGACAGAGACACTGTCTGTACTGTTGCGAGATCAGATCCCAGCTGATCAGGTTTTGAGATGCAGATGGATCCTGACATGGAAGCCTCTTGATGTAGCCGATGGTGGAGTAGATAGCCAAAGCACCAAACAATACAAGGCTAAGGCCCGAATAGTTGTGCTAGGTTATTTAGACCCCCACTTGGAGGAGATTCCCCGTGATAGCCCTACTTTAGGTAGATCATCCCGCATGGTAATCCTCCAGACAATAGCATCACATGGATGGCAGTTGCAGTCTTTTGACATTAAGGCAGCATTTCTCCAAGGCCAACCCCAAAAAGACAGACTAATCCTCATTGATCCAGTCAATGAATTGCGCACCGCAATGAACATGAAGCCATCAGAAATTGCAAGACTTCACAAAGGAGCCTATGGTCTTATAGATGCACCATATTTGTGGTATTGTGCATTGGTTCAAGAACTGACCAGGCTAGGCATGGAGTCATGTCCTTTTGATCCTTGCGTGTTTGTGCTTCGTGAAGACTCAGTGGTACCTGACGGCGACCAACCAAGGCCGCGCAATTTGGCACCAGCCACTGGATCCATTGCAGGAATTCTGGGAATCCACGTTGATGATGGCATATGTGGTGGAAATGAAAAATTTCAAAATGTCATTAGACTCTTGGAACGGAAGTATCCTTTTGGAGCAAAGAAAATGACCTCATTTACTTTCACAGGTATCGAAGTCAACCAAGATCCCAGTTATAACATCACACTCAGTCAATCCAATTACATTCGCAAAATTAATCCCATTCCCATTGAAGTTAACCGCAAATCACAGCCTGAACTACCAGTCAACGAAAATGAGAGGGGACTTCTAAGAGGGTTAGTGGGGTCATTGCAATATGCTTCTACGAATACCAGACCAGATCTTTCCAATCGATTATCCAATCTTCAATCCCAAATTAACAGTGCGAAAATCGAAACTATCAATGAAGCCAATCGCCTTCTTCATGAAGCAAAACGATATCATGACACGACCATCACAATCAAATCCATACCCCACGAAGATCTTCGGTTCATGGTGTTTTCCGATGCCTCATTTGCGTCCAGTGCAAAACCCTATTCTTATGCCGGTTGCATGATTGTAGGTACGCACCAAAATATAGCCAAAAATGTTGAGTGCCCAATTAGTCCACTAATATGGGGAAGTAAAAAGATCCAAAAGGTGGTCACCAGCACCCTCTCCGCAGAGACAATTTCCATGGCATCAGCCCTGGACCAGCTCAGTTGGTTGCGCCTGTACTGGAAATGGCTCCATAACCCCTTAACTCAATGGCATCGCCCTGAAGAAGCATTAATGAAAGTTGAGCCAGCCATATCTGTTGTCACCATGCCATCAGCGACCGACATCGCAGTGACCGACTGCAAGAGCCTTCATGATCTCATAACACGTACTGCGCCTCCGCAGTGTTCCGAGTTCAGGGTTCAGCTCGTGGCAAGGGCAATCAAAGAGACCTTAAGAGAAGGTGTCAACTTGAGGTGGGTTCACACAGGTGCCCAATTAGCCGATGCTTTAACCAAAGCTATGGAAGCCAGATTTCTAAGGGAGACGTTGAAACATGGATCATATCGACTATGTGACGAACAATCAACATTGAAAGAACGTGCAAAGACTCGTGATCGCATCAAATGGTTGAAGCAACAATCATCAGAAGATCCCAACACTGATGGACACAGTGAACATATCCACTCTCACAACTCCTTCACTTGAAACAGACACGGCAATGGAAAATTTTCACTTTTAACTTCAAAAAAAAAAGAAATTTTGGGAATGTGATTTGTACATTCCAAGCCCAGGTACATGAGCAGTGCCCAGTTCCATCTTGCGTGAATCACCAGGAGTGTTTGGGCTCAGGCGAGCTAGGTGAGGGTGGGAAGGGTTCCTGCTACTTGAAGCCATTTGGATACTGGTGGCAGGGTCCACTTTTGCAACAGGACCAGGGTGTCCGACTTTCAACTGCCTTTGAGATAGGTGCTGGAACCTTGAACACCTTCAGTGTTCTTAGCTTGGGACTTCGTGCATCCGTGCTGGCATTGAGCAAAACAACAGGAGTGCGTGTTTGTGGAGACTTGCTTTCAGGGTGATTTACAACAGTGGGTACATCCAACTGGTATTCATTCAATTGATTCTTTGTCTTCATCAACCATCACTGAAGTGGCTGCCATTTACAATATATATATATATACAAATATATATATATATATATTTATACATATATATATATATACATAAATATATATATATACATATATATATAGTGTATATATATATATAGTGTATATATATAGTGTATATATATAAAATATATAGTGTATATATATATAGTGTATATATATATATATATTTATATAGTGTATTATATATATATATATATGCTATATTATATTTTTAGATGGTACCCCCAATTAAACAATATTAAACGGCTGGGGTCGTTTGGGGTTAACTAATGCAGGGATGACATTACTATATTCTTCAATATAGCTATGGATCAAAAGGCTAAAACACCCAGATGGTACCCCAAGGATCCTAGCTGTGGCCATCGACTGTGGACCCACTTGTAAAACCAACGCGTTCAATGAGAGCACGTCGCAGCAAGTCAACAAATTGGGCTGATATATGGTGTCCTATTCACTGATCTCGTTTTATTTTAGGGTCTAGATCCGTGGGGTTTACATCAGCTACCTTTTTCAGCCAAAGTAAGATGTCTCAAAGCAGCCTCAATTGAGACATTTTGAACACTGTCCAAGGTCAACAATGCCATATCGTGCTTCCAAAAATTGTTCAGAATTGCTCGACATGACCCAAACTTGCCCGACAAAGATGCTCAAAATTGCTCGAAATGACCCAAGCTGGCCCGAAAAAAATGCGCAAAACTGCTCAAAAATTGCTCAAAATTGCTCGAAATGTCTCAAAGTGTCTCAAAATGTCTCACAATGGGCCACAAGTGTCTAAAGGGGTGATGTTCTTGCATATACAGAGGCGAAAGCTGTCATTACTTGGCATTGCTGTTGCCGGTGTCTATTGTTGCATGGGCTTAAGGTCGGTGTCAATTGAGCCGAGGTCATGCCTGCTGCTACGTTCAGAGCCCTCAATCTTCAGTTTCAACTGACAGGGATCACTTGTCATTGGATTGGTTGCCATTGTTCAAATCAACGGCTTATCCCGAAAAAATAGCATTGCTTTGATAGGAAAAAAACGTTCATGCCCGCAGTTTCTTTTGCTTCATTACTGACTCTTGGTGATACCACAGTGAGACATGAACTTCTAGGATTTTTTTTTTAGATTTGAAAGGTAGCGGATCTAAACCTAACGGATCCACACTCCAAATTGCGAACAGTGACCTATGGTGGTACCTCCAGTTATCATTCATTTTGGGTTGGGATTTTGAAGATTTGCCATGAAAAACCCAACCATCCAGTAGAATCCTGATTGGATTGGAAAGCCTCATATGCAAAAGTCACATCAGCATGACCATGGTAGATGTTGGACCATGGATGTTCATCTGGTGAGGATTGCTCCATGAGAAACCCATGATCGAAAGATCACCTGACAGCTTGTAATAGAGCGATGGTCAACTCCTCAGCCATTCAACCACTATTTCACCAATCTTTGCCAGGAACCCACCCAGCATGTTTGATGAAAATAAACCAAAATTTCTTACCCCATGAACCATCCATTGGTCAATCATGAGCCACCAAATTTCAGATTTGGGTTGATCCCGTATTCATCATGGGACCCAACACATGCCCTCTGGTAATTTAACATAGCTATGGAAAATCACCATTTTTAATGGGAAAATCCACTATAAATGGCCATTTTCAATAGCTTTTTGTATGTTTACCAGAGGGTATATAAAATATTATAAAATGTCCCCTGAAAACACGTACCCTCTGGCACAAAAAAACGTGGTACCGGCAAATCCACCATGTTGTGGTACGATGTTTTTCCAAGTCAAACCTCCATTTACCGAGGTCATAGGGGTGATTTCTCATGTCTACATTTCATCTGGATATGCGTCATGAAAATATAGCATGTAGCATCATGATTTTCATATTGTATTCCATATTCTTCATGAGCATATTGTGGAATATTCATATATCATATAAATTATATTCATATAATAATGAATATAATGATATTCATATTAGATTCAATAATCCGTATGATAATTATGATCTTGTTCTGTCCCTCTGGAATCAAGTACCTCCTTAGGAAGTACTTGCGCTATGATTTCGGGGGCGAAGTACCTTCTCAGACAGTGTTTCAATCCACATTAATCATTAAATTCATCATCCTTCATCCATGTCATCCATGTTTTCCATATCTATATATGTTTCATATATATATATATATATATACATACGTATATTCATCCATATGCCTAGTATGCCATATACAGTATTCCATTTACAAATCATCCATATATAATCCTCATACTCACCCACATATGATATAATTCCCATATGAAATGGAATTATCCATGGAATTATCCAATATATCAATATATTGGAGATGTAAAAATCTGAATAGTATTATTAGTATTTATAAATAATATAGTATAATTATATATAGATGATATAGATATTTATTTCCATAACTATTCCATATGTCTGCATAAATTATAGTATTTCACTCACCTGAATCGTTCGGCCAAAAAATGGCGATGATTCCGCCTAACATTAAAACCATGAGCAACCAGGCTTCGGGAGGACAGGGTTCGGTTGTTATAATTTACCCAGCTATGTTTTTAAAGGGGTAAATCATGTTTATGCATGTTTATAGTGTCCAAATGTTAGAACTTCTAGTGATTCCATGTTTTTTTTCATATCCAGTGAAAAACATCTCCTATTCCGAACGTCGGCCTTGCGGCGCTTGGACAGCGTTTCAGCTTCGGGCGCCTTTCAGCACAACGGGCGGAGATGGCGGGTGATGGACGGTTCTGGGAACGTAGGGAAAAGATCTAAACATGTGGATCTTTGAGAGGGAAACGGTTGAGAAGAAAATTGGGAAAATGATGAGAAATCACTATGATATACTATAAATATACAGTATGTTTTTTGATTTGTATATGGAGGTTCCGTTTTGTCATGGTCCAAATCATCCAGTCGTCATACCAAGACGACTAGTATAGGTTAACCCATGGTGACGACTGGGGGATCCCCCATTGTAGTAAACCACCATATGGGAATGGACAAAAAAAAATGAAGAAACAAAATTCATTGGATTGAATGGAATATCTATCAATTCAATGGAGCTGTTCTGGTTGGTGGTTGACCTACCATCTGGAGGGTTACCATGGATGGTTAATGATGGTTAATGGTTAATGATGGTTAGTGGGTAAATCATCTATATATCTGGTTGGTGGTTTCAACCAACCCCTCTGAAAAATGATGGAGTGAAAGTCAGTTGGGATGACGTTCCCAATATATGGAAAAATAAAAAAATGTTCTTAAACCACCAACCAGAATAGTACTTAATGGGAATATCAGTGGGATCAATCTGATTTAATTTCCATGCCTGGGTCCATGTGAACTACCTGTAACTACCGAAAAAACCGTTCGGATTCAAAGTTGTAGGATATAAGATGTTAGCTCCCAAACATGGATTTTGGATTATTTTGGGGTATTGCAGCAGGAGTATGCTTTTTGGGCAAAGGAGTTTACTTTAAGCCAATATTTTAATATAAGGAATGTGATCTGGCCCTCTGTGCAGCTTCAGATACGATGCAAAAAAAAAAGCTAAGAAGCTACGTATCGCCTCGCACCAGCAAACTACAACAACAACTCTTTGGCTTTATTATCTTCATTCTTAGAAGGTTTCGATTTTCTTATCTTTTGTAATTCTCTTTGAGATGTTTTTGTTGGCTTGTTATCCTTGAATGATCCCTGCGATTGCAGTGATGATCCGGTTGTACCTTCCAAGAAACTTCAGAAAAATGATTGTCAGATATTTTGCTGGCTAAATATCAAATTGTCAAATTGGAAGATATTCATGGGTAAATATTGGCAACCCGTCTCCCAGTTTTTTGTAGTTTGGATGGTGACTTCGTCAGACAAATGCTGGCGAGTCTATGGTACCTCCAATTGGGTTCTCATCTGACTCGAGCGATGTGCACATGGAGATTGTACCGGACATCTGGACGGCTGCTAATGACTAACATAGCTATTGAAAATGGCCATAGAAATAGTGAGTTTTCCCATTAAAAATGGTGGATCTTTCCATAGTTATGTTAAATTACCAGAGGGTGGACGGTATCTTCTTACAAGATCTTACAGGTATCCATATCCCTTGTGCTGAAATGCAACTTCAGCAACTTTTTACATGGCAGGTAAGTGGATCAAAAGCCTATAGAGCTTCGACATCATGGGCATATCCCAATTTCATCGAATTTTTAGGCATTTTGTATTAACTTCAGAGATCATTTTAGCAGGGACCCCCCCCCAACAAAAACTGCTGCAAGTTCGGCGCACCGAAGGGTCGGGCTCTTGCTGCGGCTCGGAGGCTGGAGAATCCACCTTGCAGTCGATGGCTCGAAAAAAACCGTTGGAAAATCACCATGTTTAATAGGTAAATCATGGTAAATCATCATGTTACATGTTACCTGTTTATCATCTATTTTCATGGCCCTTGGCTTCGCCATGTCTCATGTTGGAAAACGTTCAATAACCAGAGGGTGTCCTACAATCATTTCAGGAACCTAAATTGGAGGTATCTACCACGAAGATAGGCCTATGGGTCTGGAATATCGCCACAAAATATGGCCTTATTCGGTATAGTACCTCTGAAATCCCATTGATACAATGTGGGCCCCCCTGGTTTCATCAACTGAAAATCACTTCAACGTCAAAGTCATTCTCAAAAAGGTGGATTGCCAGATCGCTAGGTTGAAGTACCACGGTGCACTAATCAACCAGTCGTAACAGGATAGAAAGCAGACCAGGGCGGCGTTTGTCTGCCCCACTTCGTGAAGAGGGTGAACCATCAAAGAGTATCTGGCCATGGACCAAAACCATCACTGGTGGTTCAGATCTAAGTCGCCAATAGATTCTGGCAGTGAATGTTGGTCCCCCCATATTTGGGAAAG